GTCCTCACCAGCTGCCTCTTGCTCTTCCCCAGCACGATTTCTCTCTGGAAAGGAAAGTGCTGTACTGGGTGGAGGTGGCCTCTCAGCAGCAAAGCTCCCGACACCGGATCACGTCTGAAGTGGTCCCCACGGCTCCCCCGTGCTGGCTGCTGCTGGTGGACCCCGCTGACAGCTCTGGGGGCCGGGGGCGGGACGGGGCGGTGCGGCGCTCCATCAGCCTGAGCGCTGCCCACAGCTCCTACGGGCACGCCAAGAGCAGGGCCATCCTGTCCGACACTGACAGCGACACCTGGCACTCGGAGGAGGGTGAGTACTCAGATGATGAGTACTCCTCAACCTCCTGGGAAGAAAATGACAAGGATGAAATGCTCCTCTCCAGGAGGAGAAGCTCTGGGAGAAGTGTGTCTTCACGTCCTGGCTTTTACCAGACCCGACCAAAGACATCTCCTGGTTTGCTGGAGCCCTCGCCAGAGAACAATGTGCACAGCCCAGCCAGCCCRGACCCCGGCAAGCAGAGAAGATCCATGGTGATATTTAACAACATGAAGAATGAGCTGGAAGCAGCCAGGAGGAAGCTGGCTGCCTTGGTGCATCCTTTGAACAGAGCTGCCACAGGGAGCAGGGGGATGGCAGTGCCACGGCTGCTCCCCCAGTGTCCTGGCACCAACCACAGCATCAAGTACGGGCCAGGTCCGGACGTGTCCCCGACGGGGACCTTGGTGCCAACTCCCCCGGCCACAGCAGCGCCAATCCCTCCCATCAAGCAGCACAAGCCCACGGTGCCGGTGAGCAGCTTCCTTTGGTGGCCCTTTGCTCATTGCTGAGACAGGAGGGAGATGGAGGGCATCAAATTGGTCTCATCTGGTGAGGCCTGACAAGTAAAAAGAAACTGAAAATGGGGCTTTGGAAACACAGGACCCATGAGGAATTGCTGATGAGTTTTCATGAGAAGTGAAGGAAGGGTTTGATTTTTTCACTGAGGTCGAAAAAATCTTTCTGGGTGCACATTAACTTGCTCTGTCCTTACCAAAATATTCCTGTTTTCCCCAACATGCAGGTGTAATTTGATTTTCAATTGAAATATTTTAAAAAGAGTGAAATGTGGGGGGTTTTGTCCTTTTTTTGCTACATTATTCCATTCTAACAGATACRAGCAGGGTTTATAGGGAAATGTCCCCTTACAGTCAGTATATCTTTTCTAGGAAACTTTGGACTTACAGTCCTACTAGAAATACAAATCATTTAGTGATAGACAGTGATGTGAAAGGATGGAGCAAATAATACTATGTCACCTTAAATCTGAATTGCACCCTGATTTTAAGAAATTGCATCTAATCCAGCCACCTGAGAGATTTAGGAGACGAATTACTGAAAACCTGTAATAAAACCATCAGACACRTGGACAACCAGGTTATTTATATGCAGTTGCATTTGACATAGAGTAATTAAGGAAAGATTAAATRCCCATGTGTATTTGTACATCACCCACTCTTCTCTGAGCTGTGTCTGTAGCTGAGCCTGGATTTAATTAAGTCCAGTCTCATTTGATACCCATTTGATGTTCCTTGTATGGGAATTTTTCTCTTCTGGAGAGAGCGAGGTAACCACCAGCATTGGAAGCATTGCCTCAGCCTGGGTTGTTTCACCTCATTCCATGACCCAAAGCAGTAAGAGCATCCCTGTTTTTTCTTGCAGTCCCTGAGCCCCTACACCTGCCTCCCCGCTGCCTCCACGCCTGGACGGCCTCTCAGCTCCCTCAGATCCCAGGCAGATTCCACGGCTGACCTGCTCTCTGCACTGAGCCAAGAGGAGCGAGACCTCATCGAGCCCGTCATAGCCCTGGGCTACCCCACCCACAAAGCCATCCTCACCCTCCAGAAGACAGGAAGGCAAAGCTTAAGTCAGGTTGGTGGAGCTGGCACAGCACTGTGAGAAACTTTTGGTAAAGGAAAACTTGATTTTCATGGAGAAAGGGATGACTGTCTTCTTTGGATTTTTGATGGCCTTGGCTTTCTCACTTTGGTGTCAGACCATAGTGGACAGGGTTTTCCGTGAGATCACACTTTTGCTGTAATAAAATAGCAGTGAGTTGCCCTCAACTTTTCAGCACATAATCATGGCTGGTTTSATTATCTGTTCAATCTGTTGTGTGAAGAATTGTGTCCTTTTGAGGTACAAATTTTGCYCCCTTATATGGAAACTTTTTGCACATCATTTTTTCCCAGCTGTTGGATTCATGTGATTATTGCCATGGCTCATCCTGTCAGAGCGGGACTGTAGGAATACTGTAGGAATACCGTGGAGATTTGGTTGGGCTCTCTCCAAAACACAACTTCCCTGTGTTGGAGCAAGCAGGGAATCCATGCAAGCRTTGCACCAGGGTCCCAGAGCTCTTCCCATGGAATCCTCTATAATAACCTGGAATTTATTGAAAATCCTTAACATGCTGTCACTTCTGACCATGGTATATGAGTACTTTSCTGGCTGCTTTGCTGCATCCTCATTCCCAATTTCTCTGCTTGTCCAGATGAATCTCACAGTGGTCCAGGTGGGCTCAGAGCACCTGTGACACGAGGGTTGCCGTGGTCTCTGACTCCCTAGGCAAGCTTGGGGCTGGACCTGCCCATCCCAGCAGAGGATTTTAGGGCTAACATATCCAAGTAGCTCTTTCAGAGAGAGAAGGGGCTAAATCACAGCTGAGCARGAGGGATATCCAAGGGAGCAGATGCTGGCAGGGCATGAGCAGGCATGCTGGCTGCCAGTCTGCTGCCCATTCCCCTGGGAGCTGCCTCTGCCATGGGCCAGCTCTCACCTGACTGCTCCGTGCACGGAGCTGCTCTGTGGCTGAGTCATCTGCAGCTTCCAGCTCCCTCCTTACCCCAGTCACGGCTGGACCAGCTCCCCACAACTCGCTGGTGTTCCAGGCAAGCTGAAGGAAGGGAAGCTCTGTGTCTTCAATCTGCAAAGGTTTCATCAGGGCACAGAGAGATAGGCAGAGCCCAGGTCCTGTTGTTTCACAGAGTTATGCGAGGGTGTCTTGTAGCAACTGATGGCTTCAAAATGAAGAAACAGTGCATCTTGTTAAGGATGGAAATGGGTACAGTCTGCTCCCTTCTGT